CCGGTTTACCGCAATGCAGTAAATCGGGTAAGTAGCTGATAATTATCTCCGGCGGCGGAAATCCCAGACAAAGTCTACAATGACTTCAACACACTGCATTTGGAATTGCCTGACGGCGGTTGTATTATTGAGAGCTTTGATCTGACTGTTTGGAAGTGTGCACTAAAGTCTTACTTGTCCTTCTGCGGTTCCCTGTGTGTGGAATAAAGGGGTTCTGATTTGAGGGACTCCAATAAGGAGGTTCCGGCCTTTAAAGGCTGATCACTGTGTCCATTCCTTTTCCTAACTTCTTTGTCGTTAATTGGCCCGACAAGTGGTAAGGTGTGCAAAAATCTGCCCCCATTTTTCTCCTGTAAAACAATTCGTCTCCCAAATTTGGGACTGGTTGAGCTGTCAAGTATTCCAGATTCCTCAAGAAAAGAACCATGTTCTCATGTTTGAAACAATTTCAGACAGTGTGTAAAATCATAACAGACACCAGGTGTTTTGGGAAAAACATGTACAGTACTTGTAAAATCATTTTGGCAAAACACAGCAAACACCACAACCTGGTGTTTTGAGCATACTGTAAGGCACAGATGTTGCCAGGCATGAGAACTCCATGCCCAACTTTCATGTGAAATCGTCCAGCCAGGAATTCCACTTTGGAATCCCCCTGATTGCACCATTAACTTTTTCCTCCATTTTTGAAACTATCAATTCCAAACATCTCAAATTTCATTGCACAGTACACCTCATTCAGCCTTGTTATTATGTGTGATTGGATATTCTGTCCAAAATTCTTGTTGTTCATGGCAATCTGTTTGGTGAATTCTTGTGCAGAATTCTCTGAAATTAAATCCCTTTATTTAGGGATGTTCTTGTAAGTCTTTCATTGATTCTAATTGATTTTACAGTCAAACCCCCTTAAACCGCCAATGTTTGTGAAGAAGACTTGCTCTCAGAGAAACCATTGTCAAAAAGCCTTGAGAACAATTGGATTTCCTGGGAAATACACTTGCACTTGTGAGAATTGGGCACTTTAGATGTTAGGCAATAACAACAATTTTGTTGATGCCAAGTTGATGCCTGTTGAACTTTCCTCAACCAAGCCCTGATTTGTTACCTAGAAAAACAATGGAACCTTTTTTATTTTTGCCTATTGTGAGTTTGTAGCCCAGAAACCAAATTGCAATTATTTTCTTTTCTCCTTGTTTGGAAGGAGATCCTTCTCAACAAGGTTTTTGGTTCCTTGGAGCTGTTCTGTTTTGTTTCGGTTCCCCCTCTCACATCAGCCTGCATTAATGCTTGATGCACATTTATATGAGTTCTCCTTTTCAACTTGCTATTTGTCAACAGTGATAAACAACTTTCACTGCCTCCTTCTGAACTGCCAATTTAGAAGACCCTATTCTGTTGAACTCAAATGTATCTAGTATTTATATTGACGATGATACAAATACCCAGATTTATATATTCATCAGTGTTCATGGAACCTGCAGTTCCTCAATCTAGGCAAATATTCTGCCTCTATATTTTATGTTTTGAGGAAGGTATAAATATACCTTCCTTCCCACATATTTTTTCAGAATTAATCTAGAGTCTTTGCAGTTATATCTCAGAGAGGCTTGCGGTACATTTTAGCAAGACTCTCTTGAATCTCCGTGTATTTTTACTTGTGTGATTGTACAAATATTTTGTGACTTGAATATATTTGAAATATCTTTCTATTGGACTGGTATATTTAATTACCTCGGTCTACAGACAACACTGCCTTAATGTACGTGACAAGGACATACAGGTCTCTCCACATGTTTCTTTGGCAATGGCCAACATCACATCAATGAGAGATTTCCAAGTCAATCAAGAACCTGAATAATCAAGTAAAGTTCTGAGTATTACTGGTTCAGCCCCATCAAATGTTGAATTTCCAGTTTTGAAAAAAATTGAATGAGTTGATCATGGATCAAATGCAAAATATATCTTGAGTGTGTCTTACAATTTTTGATCTGCATTTAGATTTGGTTTCCCCTTACAGCTGTCACACAAAATATTTTGTTTTGAAAAGGCATGGGAAATTTCAAAGCTCATTATTGGAATGAAGATTTCTTCTTGATTTCACCTGTTGTAAAAGCGAGAAAAACTCATGATGACACTCACATTTGGAAAATATTTTGGCACCACGTGTTTTGGGATGAAAGAATTTTCAAGATAACCAGCAGCTTTTGGATCAAGCAAATTGTACACCTCTTTGGAAGGTGGCCACAACACCCTTTTTTGAAGATGCTGCAACAGTCGTTGGTCTTCTTGAGGATTTTCACCGAAGGGGGTTTCAAACCCGTCTAATTTTGTTGAAATGAACGTTCCATCAGCAGGTGGATGTTTTGAAGTATTGCTGATGCTAATATTTTGTACAGGAAACGAACAAATCAATTTCCTGGGCGAATTTAAAGTTGACAACGTCATAGAAGTCAATACAACCAGCATTACGGCACAAAGAAAATCTCTCCGCCGGTGATTTACCCACTTTATCAATGATGAAACCATTTTTCTGCAATCACAGCAATTGAAGATGCGAATTCAAAATATAAAAAAAGGTTTTCAAAATCAGATAGTTCTTGGTTCTTGAACAAATCGTGGTTGTCAGCAACGCGATTCAGTGAAAAAAGTTAATCAAACAACAAAATAGCTTCACTCCATCACATTTTGTTCATTTTTTGGAAGTACTATGTTGAGTTTTTTGAATGGGCACAAACAGTATTAATGGAAGAATTTACCATTCCCAAAAGCTTTCGTGATTGGCAAAATTGTTTGAAATTGAAAATAATGGGATGCTTGAAAGATTTGGTTTGGAATTGAAAATATTATAGGCTAGTAATTTTCTAAAAAAAATAGATTTTCAATACATATTCCACATGTGTGGAATTATATTAACAGTAAAATTATGGGAATATTCTGTTTCTCACGAGACATGAATCAACTTCTTCAAAAATGTATTGAAATTTTTTTTTTTTAATATCTGAAACAAAGATAACATACAGACAACAAAATGATTCTATCTAAACACCATTGTGCTGTATGACAAAAAATTTGTCATGGAACAGGTTTTTTAGGATCAATTAAATGAATACAGTATAACTGAACAATCTCAGCCAACTGCATTGTTGAAGAACTCAAAAAATGGTAAATATGGTTGTAAAAGCTATGATGGAGGGATTTTTAGCATATGTAATTGTTGCCTGATTGATGCCATTGATATACTTTAGCAAATGTCTTCACTTCTCCCACTTTTAGGAGACAAAGTTGAACACCTCATGACAATGTATAATAGCAGGACACTCAGCACAAGACTGTGAAATACACGGGGGGAAAGTGAGGTGAAGGGACTTGAAAGCTGATGTGGCATGTTTGGATGCTCACTGAAACAGTTGGAAAATACAAGGGCAGAGCTTGAGGGGGGATTAGTTTATGGATGGCTTGACACAGGGAAAAGTGCATGGAGCAGTTGAGGAGAGTTGTAGGAACTCACAAGTTCACCTCAATTACAACAGCACAATCTCATTGCAACCAACTCATTGTGGGGACTTCAAAAATGTTTCTTTTTATATGAAGAATTTCTTATAAGAAGCCTTTCAAAATTATTGACAGAGGATTTTTTTTTAAACCCACATCGAATATTCAAGACATTATACCTTTTTTGGCATTTTCAGATATATGCTTGATATTATATGCTTAAAAAATTGTGATCTTCAATAATAAATTCATGTGTCAATAACAAACATTTACTCTGGGTGATGGGTAATAATAGATATTGGCACTTCTTGTGCAGAATTTTCTGGCAGCCTTACTGTGAAATTGAATGCCAAAAGAAATGAGCCAGCCCATGATTAAAATTAACGCAATGAATCACGAATTTGATTTGATCCGCCCCATCCTAACCACCCTGACGTGTATACTGTACTTCCCTCCTGGCAGTTTTTCAAACTATACCAAGAGTTCGTACTCCCGAGGATTTTTCAAATTTTGAACAGAGATGATTTCAGATTAGCCAGGAATTAACTAGTTCCTAAAAGTTGGTATTCTTTGCCTAAATAGGGCAAAGAATAATGTTCAACAGGTACATAAAACGCTTGTAGGGTACGATTTGTGTCATGAATAGCATGATTGGCACGATATTTAATTCTCAAGTCCGAAAATTCACTGGTTAGAATCAGAAGTCTCTGGAGGCACGGTGGTTTTGTGTTCCTATAAGCGTGTGTACAATTTCCCTGGTGAGAAAAATGAATACCATCTCAAAGTAATTATAGATACAGTATTGAAAATGCTGGTACTGTAATAGTTCACAGTGCCGTGGATCAGTGCACGCCGAAATCTTCACGGCTCGTTATTGAACACAAAAATTTTGAACAAAGAAAAAATCGGGAAGCCTGAGACAATGAGCTAATTTGACAGGCAACAATACAATTTAATCACATTTTTGAAAGCAAAAGAGGCTTTTCGCTGCGTCAAGGAGAAATTAGGCTGCTATCAAAAATATATACAGTACAGTGTCCCAAAGGGAGAGAGATTTTTTTCCAGATGTTATTTCTTCAACTTCACGCATTTAGGAGATTAATCTTGAAGGAGCAAGGAGTTAGTCAATTTTTTGTGGAAGTCGGTTCAAAACAACCCATTCATTATTCACAAGAATAGATTATCTGAAAGTGTGAAAAAAGATTGACAGTGCATTGAATATTTCTTGCACATACAAAAAAGTGACCATGATCAACATTTTTGAGGGATCATTTTCTACAGTGCCTTCTCAGTATCAGGGAAGAAATAAAATTGTTCAAAAGGGCTGTCATCCGAAATAATGATCCTTGCAGGCAAAAACCAAAGACAAACCTTATTCTGATGGCGATACGACTGTTACGCCTGCACACATTGTCTATAATATGATTTCATGCTCTTGAAAACTGATATCACTGTATAGGATCATGCAAACACAATCAAAATCCTCTTACAGGAAAAAACACCAAAGGTTGAACGCGGATCGTTTTTCAATTCATTGAGAAATGAGAGAGCAAAACTTTTTCTTGAGCATACTCAACTATATCTCACTAACAGCGTAGTAACAGGAATGCTTCTCAACAACGCATGAACGATTTCATTCACCGCTCATAGATCATCTCAACTCCAATAAAAGAGAAAACCCTTGAATCGAGAGTCAAAAATCACAAACAGAATCGACAAATGGGGCTCACTAGAGGGAACACTGCAGGTGATTCAGCTGCAATCTACCTCACTTTTCCCACTCATCACCATAAGCATTTGTAGTACAACCCTTCTTTGGCTTCTCCGGATCAGGAGCTGCTGAAGATGCAAGTGGACCCATTACATCACACTTCATCTGCTTGTACTTCTTCGTTTCAAATTCAGATCAATTTCTCCTACAAAGTTCATCATACGATAAGCCTTGAACATCTTTGCTTTGGTTTTCCTCTTCTTTCATCATTGACGCTTCCGGTGGTCATTCCTGAAATGAACTTACTGAAAAGAAAAGAAAGAAATAGGTAAGGGGTTTCACATCACGCGGAACTTTCAAAGACGGCAGCAAATATTCTAGAGATTTCCCGCATCAGAAATTCCAAAAATTGATGTCGTGATGGTACGCAAGCAATTACCTCTCTATTCTGCTCAACTAACCGAATTGTCACCAAAAAAAAAACAGACCATTTTTAAACATGAACAAGAAAACAAAGAAACCATACCTATTCCTTCTGAGTGGATCACATCGTGAAATGGTTTGCAATACCAAAGAAGACATATCTGAGCATAATTGAGAGCATTGAAACCAACTACAGTAATCTAACTACCCTAATCAATTATACAAGTCAAGTAATTCTACCTGACCCAACTGATCAAGCTTCATGCCTTACTGACTGAGTGTAATACCCCACAATCAAGATCGAACACCTAACCAAACACTTTTGATGCTCACTCAAGCAATCCAAGCACGATAAAATTGCTGGAAGGCATACATACACAAAGGAGAGCAGAACAAACTCACTTCAGAAATACAACAGAATCAGAGTAGATCAGTTTTAAACGCTCTCAAGATGCACCTGGATCCTCTTTCCAAAATAACCTTTTAATTACTTGAACGCGCTGAACTACGGCTGTTCCTTCTTTACATCATGCAATTATTTTTAATTGAATCACATGAACTCGCCTCCATCAATCTGTAAATGCCAAACATCTACGAGACTTTTCAATGTATTCCCTTGAACATTCTACAACAACTACTGACACTTGAATTGGCACCAAGAGAACATTACTGCGAATCAAAATCAAGTACTGTACTGCGGTACACTGATTCAGATTTGTTCTCTCTTTGGAGACAGGGAAAAATGAAAAACAACTTACGGTCCAAATCAGGTTTACAATAATTGTCCAAGTCACACACTGACCCATCTCGAGCTCTGCGACTTGCGATCTGCTTGGACGTTGGTTTGGAGTAAACCGGAACAGACAATCTTCGAAAATGAAATATTGGGTTAGAAAGTCTTTCCATTACACTGTCAAAAACTATTCCAGAAAAGGATACGAGATGAACGAAAGACAGAAAAAGGTACAAACTCTTCATTCGGGATGGGAGGGCGTCCAGCGTTTTGTTGGTTACGGCGGAGAGTTTCTGCTAAGTGACTGTTGGGTAGCTCCATTATCATTTCCGCGCACTTGTCCCAGTACGAGAACTTTCCTGCTATGTATCCGACTAAGGTGGCAAGCAGGACTTTAGGCGTCAATCCAAATCTTGGTGAACCCCATCAATATCCTGCCAAATAAAGCGTGATAAAGTGTTTGTTCAATCACAAAAATGGAAGGCATACATACACAAAGGAGAGCAGAACAAACTCACTTCAGAAATACAACAGAATCAGAGTAGATCAGTTTTAAACGCTCTCAAGATGCACCTGGATCCTCTTTCCAAAATAACCTTTTAATTACTTGAACGCGCTGAACTACGGCTGTTCCTTCTTTACATCATGCAATTATTTTTAATTGAATCCCATGAACTCGCCTCCATCAATCTGTAAATGCCAAACGTCTACGAGACTTTTCAATGTATTCCCTTGAACATTCTACAACAACTACTGACACTTGAATTGGCACCAAGAGAACATTACTGCGAATCGAAATCAAGTACTGTACTGCGGTACACTGATTCAGATTTGTTCACTCTTTGGAGACAGGGAAAAATGAAAAACAACTTACGGTCCAAATCAGGTTTACGATAATTGTCCAAGTCACACACTGACCCATCTCGAGCTGTGCGACTTGCGATCTGCTTGAACGTTGGTTTGGAGTAAACCGGAACAGACAATCTTCGAAAATGAAATATTGGGTTAGAAAGTCTTTCCATTACACTGTCAAAAACTATTCCAGAAAAGGATACAAGATGAACGAAAGACAGAAAAAGGTACAAACTCTTCATTCGGGATGGGAGGGCGTCCAGCGTTTTGTTGGTTACGGCGGAGAGTTTCTGCTAAGTGACTGTTGGGTAGCTCCATTATCATTTCCGCGCACTTGTCCCAGTACGAGAACTTTCCTGCTATGTATCCGACTAAGGTGGCAAGCAGGACTTTAGGCGTCAATCCAAATCTTGGTGAACCCCATCAATATCCTGCCAAATAAAGCGTGATAAAGTGTTTGTTCAATCACAAAAATGACGGTGATTTACAGTAAAATAAAATGAAAAATTATGCTTTTCACTCGACTAGACATGGATTTACGATTGTGACTTCCAAAGCACCAAAGTTCTACTCACCTTTTTGAATGCCAAGGTGAGCCAGGACCAATAGCCCTATGGCAAAAGGGAAGGAGCGATACCAGAAGCTCTCCATGTTGCATCGTTGCAGCACTTGGAGTTTGTCCTGGCTCAATTCCAATCTCTCCCGCTTTAAACAGGAAATGTAGATTTGGGTTTCATACGCATCTCAAAATTAATCAATGAAATTACTCACCAATTCACAATCATGGTCCGGTTCTTTCGGCGGTACGCCGGCCATGCCATTTTAATCACATACAAAATTTGAAAACCTATGGATAACTGAAGATTCTGGAGAACAAATAATTTTCACTAGAGTTAAATGAACGTCCTGAATGCTTAAATATTGCCTTCACGTAATTATATATGCACCTCGGGGAGACATCTTGGAAAATACCGTAAAGGCCATCAATTTCCAAAGAGGATGAGTAATAATTATTTCTTATCGGCCCTTCACGCACGGAAGTCCACTCCTGATAGTCCACGCAAAGTCTACATAAGGACAAAATTTCGAATTTCTCATCAACCGCGGTGGTGCAAGAATTCTGGATACTGTTGTATTTAAGCGATCCAAGGGGAACCCTCACTATCATTTTGAAGTGCGCGGCCATTTTTCTCTCCTGCTGCGCTCTATCCAAGACTGTGCAGGGGGTGAGGCCCCATCTCGCCGGAGCAGAACTCTTGGTTGTCCAAACTCTTTGCCAATGTGTCCCCCATCGCCTCACGCCCTGCACCACTCTCTCTCTGGTGGTTGCGCATGAGTGACTTCAAGAATCGGGAATAAATCCCTTATGCAGGAAGTGGTGTAGCAGGTGACTCCATGTGAGAAGAAATGATTTCTCTGCCTGTTTGTGAAATGATATGATGGGATGTTCCATGGGTCTTTTAGATGTCAGGTATATTTTCTTCTAAATTTGGTTTGACAATAAGTGCATTTGACAATTTGTTTTCAATTGTGGGTTTGACAAGTGCCTCTTCTACTGAGGCATGCTTGACGTCAGTTTCATTGAACTTAGGCATATTATTACTTCAAGCAAGGAATTAGCTTCAAAAGGTTCCAACAATTTTGTTTCATGGGTTTAAAATGACCAATATTGTTCAGCAATAACAGTATTGCTGAGGTCTTGATGTCAACTTTGTATTGAGCACACAAGATAATTTCTTGGACACTGCTTGTATTATTCAGATACAACAATCTAATTATAATCAGGGGGAGGCTTCAGCAAAAATACAATAATTGACCAGTTCAATAAGACAGGAGTTTTTGACACAAGGATCAAATTCTGCTGCAAGAACTATTGTTGCAGTACTCTATATTTATGTCAATGCATGAAATATATATTCATATTCAGTTTGTCATGAAGAATGCACATTCACGGTTTTTATAAAGAATTTTCCAAGCTTTCCAGGGTGGTGAGTTCTTATTAGATAGATTCTACCTGTTTGACAAGAGTCCCCTTCCAGTACAAGAGATCATACTCTAAAAGAGTTTGCTTTCTACAACACAGCACACTTTGTGCATCATGAGACTACTTCTTAACAAAAAGAGGCCAGCAGTTTTAAAAGACAGTATATTGGCCTGTTTTCCTTTGAATGAGATACTTGACAAGAAGCTAATTCAAACAATGGTAGAATTTTTGACACATGCAATGTCAATTGCATAAGCATGGTCATATACTATATATGTGGTGCCTTGCCTAGCAAATGCACTGGCAAATAAACAACCTGTCTAAGTAACACCAGAAAAAATAAATGAATGACTTTCCTAGCAAACACTGGCCTGCCTTGCAAATTTTTGCTGGCCTGCCCTTGAACAATATATATTTAAAAAATGAGACTGTTGTTTCTTTCCCTCTACAAAAATGCTTGTTTCTCAAGCATTTTTGTTGAGGAAAAGTGAGAAGAATGGAAGGAAATTGTAATTGGTGATATACTAGGCCCAAAATTACTTCCTAAATGAGTTGACAGGATGCAGAACTTGGAGGCAAAGGTTCATTTGCCTAGTTGATCCCGCACTTCCTTTCAAAAGTTAGTAAAAGTTTATTTTTATGGCTTTCATTTGACATTGTAACATTTTTATGTCTTCCATATTTCCTGTGATAATAGAATAAAAGGACTCCAGAATCCAAAATAATGTATGGAGGTTTGAGGGGAACGTCTGAGACTCAGGGAGGTTTTAATACATGTTGTTACTAATGAAATTCAGACATAGATGAACATATTTTGACTTCAGGAAGTTCCAAGTGCTGGTTATCCCTGTAGTTCCATATTAGCTTGCAAGAGGTCTAATCAGTGCTTGTACCTCATGCAAAAGTGACATCTATGCAAAGTTATAACAGAGGATTGACTCCTACTTTGCTCATAGATGTTGCATATGCATGAAGTACAAATAGATGCCTAACAAATAATGTTCTACCTAGCAGATGCAGTCCTGCAACTGCATGCTTGTGTTTGCTAGGCCAGTCACCAATGTATAGATTTTTTAGATTGTGCAATCCTAGCAAATAATCCAGGTATATGCAAGCATTACAAGCAGGCATGAGAGTACAGATGTTTTCAACCAATAACATATGCAGTTTGCCTGTTACAAATTTTTATTTGTGTCAAGTTTCCTCAGATTTATTCTTGAATTATAAATGCTCCAGTTAGCTGATTTTTTTTAATCCACAGGGGCCTATTATTTGCCTGATGAGCCCATAATGCTGCAGCATAATTAGCACCTGCTCTAATCTGGCCTTGCCTCAAGGTACTATATGATGTGGATGTACTTGTTCAAATAAAATTGTCAAACAGTCCTCACAACCAGTCAACTTGAGCTCCATCTGTATCAACTTTTCAAACGACAGTTCAGGAAGGTTTGCACTTTCAAATCTGATCAGTGTAGAAGCTAGAGGATAAAACTTTGTAACACTTGGATGACAGAAAAGTGGACTCCTGTATACTGTGAAGAAGTTGTCCTGTGACACCCTTTATTCCAGTGTGAACATCCTTACTAGACCTGGTATCACGGTAGTCCTGTGACACCACCCAGTGCACTGTAAACTCAAATCCTCAAGTCTGTCACTAGTGTGCGTAAAGGAGAGAGTGATGAGAAGAGGGAGTGAGGGTATGGGGGGTGCAGTGACCTAGAGTTTCGCTGACCAAGAGTTCTGCTCTGGCAAGAAACTACACCACCGTGCAGGGCGTGAGTGGACTTCTTGCTGGAGCTCACATATGAGCTGCCAAATATACGCTGCTCCCCCTGCCTCACTCCCAATGCAGCTGCAGTCCCTCTCTTGTGCGCATGCTTGAGCAACTTCAGAAAGTGGAGCCTGGCTCTTCTGGGAAGAAGCAGTGTAGGAGTCACTCTGCACTCATTGCACTATTAAAACTTGCAATAAAATGAGTAAATTTCATAATGATGCAAAATATTATCAAACTTTCAAAACTATTTCATATGGGTTAAAACACCCTATGCATTAAAAATGCAACAATTTGGATTTCTAAGAAAGCTTGCAGACATGCATGGAATTGATTATGGGAAGGCAGTTATAGGGGCTGGAGGGGTCCGGTTGACTATATACATATAATGCTGTACCCCAGTATAAAAGCCACGCCCTGCTGGTCAATTTGTGCAGAATATTTCTGCGTTTTGCTGGTGACTGAAGAACATTTGAACATGCATCTTATTGTCTACCCGTGCATTCCTACTTATTGGAGTGATTTGTGCTGCTGCCTTTGCGCGCAAGGTTCCATCATCCAAAGTGAGTAAAGCATTAATTTTTATCCATGTGCGTTCTATATTTTTGGGTACATGCTGGTTAACATATTGTTGATTCCGGGTCGACATAGATCATTTTCTGGCTGGTATATAGGCCTTGGAAAATATTTCCAACTTTTTGTTATTCTTCAATTCACGTAATTAAAGCATCCCAGTTCCCACCAGACGAAGCTCAAGATGAGCGTTGAAATGAGAAGTGATGGAAAGGTATTACCCTATACTTAATGCTGACTTCTATGGGTGCGTTCTATACCCGCGCGTGTATTATTAAAATAAATTCTTTGTTCAATCAACAATTCCGATTTATATATTGTAAAGTTGGCTCAGGAAAATCTCTTGCATGTCAGCAGCTTCAAATTTTATGTAGCTGAGTTTTTCAAGTTTGTTACGCTGTACACTACTGCTGTTTATGTATGATTAACGTGATGAATCTAATATGATGAGATTACATTAATAATAAATTTATGGTTCAGATTTGACAAGTATTAAGCAAGGGCCAAATGTTTCAAGTGCAAGTCATTTTCAGAAGATAGGGAGAATTTGCTCACTCTATTTCGAAAATTATCGAGGAAAATTGCGCAATGAAGTTTGGAAAAACTTTCAAAGTATGGTATTGTATATATACTGTACTGTACTTTATTTGGTCACTATGATTGATATACTGGAAGGCTGAGTTGAAAAGCCGCCTTTTCTGCTGCGGATCTAATTTGAGTTGCCCTTGTCCATCTTATGCTCTGAGAAAACCCCTGAATTGGGCAGATGATTTTAAAAAAGTATTTATTGATTTTTAATGCACAATAAATTTTATTATTGCTGGTTTCGCTGCCTCCATCTCTTGAATCCATATTTTCGGAACATTTTCGATGACAAATTTTGCTCTTTAGTTGACGCCACGTGCCCACGCATCAAATATACTGCGGGGCCCCAACATGCGGACCCGCCAATAACGCATATGGATGAATCAAATTGAGGACACTTCGACACTCAGAAAAATGTGGACAGACATTTGGGTTGCGAGTTATGGAAACGATCAGAATTTATGGACAAATTGAAAAATTCTATCTATTTCGAAATTTGATACCTCGACAAATTTGAACTTCATGATCACAAGAATTGAAAATTCATTTTATTTCAAATCTCACTATATTACAGTACATAATCAAAGCGGGGCTAATTTGTGCTGCTTTTTGCGATATGTTTCCAGCATATTCCTGCACAGTAAATAGGAAGAATTGTGCGTGTTCTTTGCTTTGTGGCTTGGGCTCCTTTTCATGCCAGAAGATCAGATTCTGTTTGTTTTTTCTGTACCTTGAAGTTGAGATAAGTTATTTTGTTCAATTTTTCGAGGGACGCTTTCCTAATATTAGATCAGCAGGAGAACCAATGGAATACTATGTATTGTATATATACTGCTGTAACACCATTGAAGTACAGTACTCTATGAGAGAAAACGTGATCCGAGATGCGGATGTAACCAGCATATTGAGACAGTAAAAGTACAAGCACCAGCAATGGTGTCCGAATCTCGGGGCCTTACTGTAATGCCGTAAATTCCATCAAGATTTTGGTGGCGGCAGACAATAGGGAAACTATTTTTCGTGTTTGGAAATGGTGGTGTTTTGCTGTTGATTCATTTTGGCTATTGACTGAGAAGTTTCAGACATATATACTCCTACAGTATATATCAGGAATTTACCATTAAATGTATTTAAATTACTTCACTCTTATTTCACAGACCACTGATGGTGGATTGGATCAAGAATTCCCGAAACTGCTGATTTCCTTCAGCGAACAGCAGAGGAAATTCTATCGAATCAAGCCTCCAAATAAGTCGAACCACAATTGGCCATTTGAGCGGGATGCTTTTCGCAATTACGTTGCAAGGTTCACTAAGACTGATGATGATATTTTTGCTGCAGACTGCAGCAACCCAAGAGTCCTCGACCCTTGTCTTTCTCCTGGCTATGTCATCGGCTTAAGGTTAGTATTGTGTACAATTGGACCTCCGTATATGTCATCGAAAATGAAGTATCCGGAATTCGATTTTGTTTTCCCTGTCCAAAGTTGCGTTACATTTTAAAACGATCTGACCCAGTTTTTCCCCGCCTTTTTGGGCCTGGGGACCCCGGCAAATTTCCATCAAGCTTTTTGCAACACATTCCCAAAAATCTTCTGTCGATCAGCAAATTTTCATGAAATGTTTGCACTCGAAAAAATGTTTGCTCTAAAGACTTATTTATATCAGGTATTTAAAAGTTTCTTCATTTTTGCAAAAATCAAGCTTCTTAATATTCCAATTTTAAAATCCTAGAGTTGATGCTTGGAAAATCCCCAATGCAAATACAGTTGAACCTGGATTTAACTCGAACCTCCCCAAGTCAAATGACACCTTAATATACGGTATGTGTTGAATTTTGTTGGTCCATGTCTGAATTACCTTATAAATGATGCATTGAAAATCTCCAGAAGTGAAAGGTTCCCCCACAACCTCGAAACTCCAGCATAACTCAAAGTTTCTGGAGACCTTTTGGCCAAAGGATGAATACTTTTTTGGACACAGGAAAGAAAAAAAGTAATGAAATGATAATGTAACTTGATGTAACCTGAAAGAAAGTTAGTTCATTGGGTCTAAATAAATCCTTGCCTCCTATTTCAGCATCCTGCAACTCATTTAAGAAGCAATTGAAGGCCCAGCGCACAGATCAAAAATAAGTC